CGTGACTAGCCCACGGTTCAGCACGCATGTGTTCAGAGGATTAATGGCAAAATTTAATAGAGTAAAAGATTTATCATTTGTATGTGTTTACAAACTCAATTGATTTTAAAATAGTGCAAGAAGAGGCGAAAGAGCAAACAACAGAACAAACACAGCTTTGACAAAGATTAATCCACATTAATTTATACAGTGAACACACTCAGAAGAATTGGAGAAACTGAGGAGGAGTTTCAACATCTGGAAAAGATCCGGAGCAATGGTAAAAAACAAACAAAACCCTCTCCAAGATTGGCATGTCACCATATTCTAATTTGTTGAGATAGTGAATTGGTGGGTTTTTGTTAAATGTGAGCCAAAATCATCACAATTAAAAGAACCAAAGACTTAAACTACTTCAGTCTGTGTGCATTGAATTTATTTAATACACGAGTTTCACAATTTGAGTTGAATTACTGAAATAAATGAACTTTTCCACGACATTCTAATTTATTGAGATGCACCTGTACATGTAGTCGTTTAATAGCCGTCTTATTGATGACTAGTCTATTCTTGGGCTATGGTTAGACGTCTATTAAATGTTCACTGACAGCCCAAATTTAGGCTTGTTTTAGCCTAGACGTCTGGGCTGTGTTTAGACGGCTAAGAGACGTCTTTTAAACTGACTATTGCTTGCTGGGTCATTTCTGACACATGCAGCGCTGACCGTGTCTGACGGTCATTACTCTGTCTGAAAGGATTCGTCATGTTTGTGTGAACAACAGTTTCTTCAGAATATAATTTCTGATGAGCTTGAACATCCAGGCTTTCCTCTTCATTTGACTGTGATGGTGTAAGTTAAAGAAAAGCACTTCTGAATGGTTTGTTTGGTTCATTTGGTCACTGGTCAGACAGGAGTGTCCGTTTCATTAAAACATATACACTATCATTCAATCAACTGGGGTCGGACTTTTGAAACAGTTTTGAAAGAAGTCTCTTCTGCTCACTAAGACTGTATTTATGGGATCAAAATACAGTAAATACAATAAGAACTGTCAAATATTATAATGTAATTTTTCAGGATTCACAGATGAACAGAAAGTTCAAAAGAACAGCTTTTATTTGAGATAGAAATCTGCTGTGACATTATAAATGTCTTTACTGACACTTTTGATCAATTTAATGCATCCTTGATTAATAAAAGGGTTCATTTCTTTAAAAACAGGTTTTTAATTTATATGGCTGGGAAAAAAATAACATGACACTGTGACACTGCCAGCCTTCAGTCACAGTACTTTGTGAAAAGATGACATTCAACAAATACCTAAAACACCGTCTTTATGTTGTTTCTGTTTCCATGAACTCAGAGATTCAGTGTGAGAGTATTCCTGACTGATGTTATTGAATGCTAGATGCTGATTATCGTGACTGTGATTAGTGATGAATGCGTTTCTGCTACTTTGGTACTGCTACTGACACTCACCGTGAGAATTCAACTCTGAGCTCTTCTGCTTTTAGACTTCCTGCTGTCCTGTAACACTTCCACATCTGCAGAACCAGAGCAGGACAGTACAGAAGAGCAATGAGGTGGAGATACACGAGCGTTTCACCTGTACAGAGCCCCTCGAGCGTGACGCGCACGGCACACATCACTCGTGAAACACTCATCCTGAGCGCATGCACACAAACACCACCAGACAAATAACACCGTCAGAGAAGCATCATGGGACTCGTTCTACAAGCCTCATGGTCATAAATATAGATCAGCCTCTAGCGGTTACAAACACAGCAGACAGCAGGTGGAGCTAATACAACAGTGATGGAGGTTCAGTTCAACAGGATAATCATAAAGACACGAGACAGACACAGATGAGCAAACTCATGCAGACAGTTTAGGGGTCAGAGGTCAGCAGTCACTGAAGCGCTCATGCAGTCACACGCAGCCGTACTCGTACCACAGCGACTGGCCGTCCTCCGAGAGGGCCCCGGCCCCGGGCTCAGAGTCAGCGGGCCGCTCGTCTGAGGGCTGGCTCGCAGGGGCTCTATGGGGAGTGCCGCTAATGCTACTAACGAGAGACGTGTTGAGGGACAGGATGGCCTGGTTTCTAGCACCACCCGTCACCGCTGGCTCGCTAAAGATGGAGTCCAGAAAGATGGAGTCTACGGTGAAGGAGGGACCTAGAAAGGCCTGCAGGCTGGACAGCTCGGGCTCCTGTACGCGGCAGGGCATGCTAGTGGACTTGTGCAGGGCCTGGGGAGCGGGGCCGTACTCACTGGAGGGCGCGGGGTCCACCAGCACGGGCTGCCGGCTGTCCTTGGAGAGCAGCTCGTGGATGCTGGTGCGGCGCACGGAGCCCTCGGCGGTGGAGATGACGCTGCTGGCGCGGGGCAGGCCTGAGGACGAGTCCAGACACTCCGGCACACACAGAGACGACGCGGAGCCCTTGGCACGGCTGCTCTCGGCCCGGCGCAGGCTGGGACGTCCCGGTGGACCGGCTCGTGCACTGCTGGCCGAGCGTAAGATACCACGGCTCTTCACTCGCTCTCTGGACGCCTGCGGCGCGGCTCCGGACACACCAGACGACTGTGCTGAGAGAGCGTCCTGTGCAGGAGAAGACGAACACAAGTGTCTGTTTATATCTGACTATCATCAACACAACTACTGCATCGCTGCCAGGACAGGAACATGTCAACGAGACGTCTGTGACACGCTGAACAGTAGTGCTGGGAAAATAAATCGATGCATCGTGAATTAAGAAATGATTCAGCATTGATTCTGAGGTTTTCCAAATGCATGGCAATTCTTTCTCGAGTGGATTCTGAGCTTAGTTGTGAACAGCAGATGGCGCTGCATGCTTTAGAAACAGCTGTACTCTGCTTGTTTCCACACACACTTGAACCTAAAATAATCATTCATAAAATTCGGAAAGGTTGAAGTGAATCACAAGGGTGTTCACAGTGGGCTGTGTTTACATTAATCTTGCGTCATAAAAGCATTCTGAGCTGAGGTGAAATTACAGACTCAACCAAACGCACAAGCACTCTTCAGCTCTTCATGAGTGTTTGAGTGTGCGGATAAAAACTAGAGTAGAGCGCCATCTGCTGTTAAAATATAAGCTCAGAATCCATTCCAGAGGAATCGCGATGCATTCTGAAAATCTCAGAATCGATCCACGAATCAATTCTGCATCGATTTATCGTCCCAGCCCTACTGAACAGTACTGATTTCTTAGCAACCCAATCTTTTGAATGGTAGTGCAGTGGTCACAGTGATGCTTGTGACCATTCAAGACTGCGGTCGCTAAGAAATCAATACTTTTATTCATCAAGGCTGCATTAAACTGATCTAAAGTGACAGTAAAGACATTTATAATGTTACAAAAGATTTCTATTTCAAATAAATGCTGTTCTTCTGAACTTTCTGTTCATCTGTGAATCCTGAAAAATAAAATGCATCATGGTTTCCACAAAAATATTGTGCAGCACAACTGTTTTCAACATTGATAATAATCAGAGATGTTCCTCGAGCAGCAAATCAGCATATTAGAATGATTTCTGAAGATCATGTGACACTGAAGACTGGAGGAATGATGCTGAAAATACAGCTTTGACATTTTACAACATTCTCATAGGAAACAGCTGTTTTAAATTGTAATAATATTTCACTCTTTTACTGTATTTTTGATCAAATAAATGTAGCCTTGGTGAGCAGAAGAGACTCTGAAATCTTTCCGGCCCCAAACCTTTGATCGGTAGTGTTTGCGGGTTGTGAACTCATGGGTTAAGTTTACTTCTTATCACCAGCCGTACAGTCAGTCAGACAGCTGCTCTATTACTGCGGTCGACTGATTTCAGAGGAGCTCATCTCTAAGTGCACACAAAAACAGACCACACTGGACCGGTTGGTCTCCTCCTGTCTGAGTGGACAGTTCTTGACCCCGGGGAACAGTGTTAAGAGGTGTGTTTAGTGTGTGATGTACGTGAGCATCACCTCTGCTGGCTCTGTGCTCTCCTCCAGGAACTGCTGCAGGGAGACCACCTCACGTCCTGCAGATCTGTCCTCCAGAGCGCTGTGCTGCGCTGACATCTGTCTCAGGGGACTGTCCAGACGCACAGTGACGTCACCGCTGCTCCCGCTGCCGTTCATCACACCTGAGAGACACACACTCAGCTGCTTCCTGACTGCATTTGTCACATTTAAATATCACTGTTTGTATGAATATTCACACGTTTGAAAAAACAAAAACAAATAAAATATGTTGATTACTGTTCCAACATGTGTAGACGGCCTTCATTACCCAACACAATTATGTAATTTTGAATTGCACGCAGTGTTAATTTTGACAGCAAATTTTGATTTTTTTGTGTGTAATTCTCCATTCATGCGACGCGAAAGAGTAACGTTACTCGCGCGCTGTGAGAGGCGCTTTCTGTGTGTGTGCTTCAGTGTCTGCGCTCAGAAAACCGGACCGAACTGAGTTCTCTCTTGCGTCGTCAGATTTATCCATGTGTCTGCTCTTCTCTTACTCCCACATATTGACATATGTACGCATCTAACCTCTGAACCACGCAGCAGATTCGTTCTGAATGAATCTCTTCCCAAATTGTCCCTCCCTAACATTTTCTCTCGTTTTTATTCGTTGACGAAAATGTCAATAGATTTACGTCATCGTTTTTGTCATTCAAAAAGAGTTTTAGTTCGTTATCGTCTCATTGTCGTCAGTGAAAAAAATGTCTGATTGCACATTGTCATACGAGTAACGAGTCAGCGAGTCAGTAACGGCTCTGATTGATTCACTGACTGACTCTCACTGTAACTTAAATGCAGGTTTGAGGCTGTTTTATGCATTTTCTAAACTGACTCCTTAAAAAGAACGAGTGCATAAGTGTTTGTGAATCAGACATCACGGCTCACACATCGGTTGTTGTTGTGTGCAGGAAACACTGGCGCATAACCTAACGATATTTGTGAAACATATGGACGTTCCCAACTGTTGTAATAATGACTAGATTACAAAGTATTATTGCATTTTTGTTTTGCCGTGCACATTTTACTCGCCGTCTGGAGCAGGATCACAGTGAAATCAATATTTAGTCTAAGCAATGAATTTGTTTAGAGAATGTACACACTGTTAACTAGACAGCCATCTAAGTGATGCAACATGAAAGCTCTGAGAGCTGGAGCGTGATCAGTCAGAGCAGCAGATGACATCACAGCGGGCCAACAGATGGAGCGGGACAGACGCTCGCGCCAGAGACCAGAGCCACGTGTGCCGAGAGCAGTTTACTCACCCTGAGCTCGCAGCACACTGCACTCCTCCGACGACAACTGAGTGATGTCATCACTGGACACGGCATTGCCTACAGACCAGACCACAGCACATGCTCAGCAACACAAAATGCAGTTCTATTTGATCACATGTGTCTCTGTATCCTGCAGTGAATGTACCTGTATCGGAGCGGTGGCGAGCTCTGCGGCCGCGGGTCAGGGTCAGAGTCAGGCTGGTGTAGTCCATGGATCCAAACTCCTTCCTGTGCTGAGCGCCGATGGCCTCGTCAGGAGCGTCGAGATGATCCGTGCTGCTGGACCACTGACCCTCAGACAGAGCCATCGTCTGCAGCAGGTCGTTCATGGCTGAGACAGACACACGCACAGACTGGATTAACGTGCTAAAGGGCCGCTTCATTCAATATGAATGAACACACAGAAGAAAAGAACGAGATGTGAAGAAAGACAGCAAGGCTGAATGCAAGAGATCAGTGGAAACACAACAGACATTAACACAACCTCACAAGTGCTCATGATACTATGAAAGCAGCATAAGGTCTGTGGAGACATTCATCCGTCAGACACATGAACAGTTTATACACTAACAATGGACGTCTAGCAGGCAGTGCAACCACCACCTCAATAGTGTGTCAGTTCAACAGTGTGTTAGCAGCACGCTAGTGTTAACTAACCCATTATATGGGTGATGGAGTTCATAAACTCAGCCATTTATCTAAACTCACACTTGTCTGTTGTCCATGATTGTAGTTCTTTAATGGGGTCATGAACTGCCTTTTTTTTATTATTTTGTGCTGTTCTCTGAGGTACACTTATAATGTAATGATGTCCACTTATAATAATTTATCGTTTGTTTCTGCATTTGCCTCTTTCGTAATTTCACTACATACGCGAATCAGTAGGCGGGGCTAAACAGGCAGCGATGTAGAATCGGCGGGCGATGCTAAACAGACAGTGATGTAGAATCGGCGGGCGAGGCTAAACAGGCAACAATGGAGAACTGGTGGGCGGGGCTAAACAGGCAGCGATGTAGAAGCAGGCGTTGATCTTTTTCTGCGGAGGCGGTGTTTAGCCACACTATTACGTCATAAAGTGACACATTCCACAATCTGACGTTTTGGCAGACTGGCTTCAATATAAGCTGTTTTTAGACTAACAAGAAAGTTTTGAGTTTAGAAACTTACAGGATGTTTTTATGGTACAATGACCTCTTACATGTCAAGGGATTTTTGATTTCTCAGTCCATGACCCCTTTAAGTATCCACACAGCAAATTGTCGCTTCAGTGCAATTCAGCGCCACACATCAGACCATATAAACAGAAAATCTTGGCGGCATCGCTCCAGTAGCTCGCAGAATCACTCTTTTCAGACTGTCTAATAATGTTTGATTTCACTTGAATGCGATTGTCCACTTTTAGCTAAAAAAACCCCTACGATTCTCCAGTTGTCACAGAAAATTGTGATCAAAGTGGAATAGAAAGCAGAAGGAGAAAAATAAACCCAAAGTGGTGTAGCAAACTTCAGGAACTGGCCAGCGCAAGTTAATGTCAACTGGCCTGTTGCTGCAACTGGGTCTCATTAAAAACAAAGAGAAGAAAGATATACCTTAGTTTTTTTTTTTTGTCAAACAGGGAGAACATCAAACCTTTGGATCAAAGTTACAGCTGAATTTCACAAGACATGTGAAGGAGAAAAGGAGAGCATTGTGGCGAAGATGTCTGCAAAGGTCCTGCGACCCCGAGGCTGTTGTCGAACTTTCGCAGCTAGCTGTGTTTAAATATGTAGTTCATGTTGGGTGAGGTAACACTGCGATTTCATGTTATGTGAGGGGGTTTACAGTCAACGGAGCACAAAAGTGAAAATAAGCTTTGGCAGATGCCTTCTTCCCCATCTGCCAAAGCCTATATGCTAATCTGTACACATCACACATAGGAGGACTGATATAGTTATTACAGATCAATGGTCTGCTAATCCCACAGGTTTGCATCCAAGTGATGGGTGATGAATTAATTATTGTCTTAAAGTGAACCGATTATTCTGCAGTTTCTCCTCAACTAGAACCTTCAGACAAGATAAGCAAGCCAGACATCAGATCCATAGGGGAAGTTGATATTACATCAAAGAGAATGGGGGGGGGGGGGGGAGGGTG